TGGAGCAGCGGATCTTTTGTTTACCATCAGATTGATGCTTGATGGGCAAAAGGAGTGACATCAGCTTGAGGGGGTGTGGACATGTTCTTCGTTCAACGACCAAAGGTCACTTTCGGCCCCACCGCCCCACCAAGCTGGAGGAATTCGCCCCCCCCCCCATCCGCTGCACAAGGAAAAGGTGTTTCCTCGTCGGGGTGCTTCCAGGGCGGCACTTCTGGTGGCGATGAGCCTTGGCAACGAGCAATCCAACTGAAGGTTGTGAAGAACAATCGCGATCAATCCATCAAGCTCGCTGTTTCAACCTCGCAAAAAAGAGTAGGTTTGCCCACTTTGGAAGCGCGGCTTTGAGGGAAAAAAGAAAGACCCCAGGGTCATGTACAAATTTTGTAACGGCCTTGTGCATGCACTGGCTAGCTAAATCAATCTGATCCATGGGTCGGAGCTTTTATTCGATCTGCGGTGGGGAAACCCCCGCAACACGTGTGTTCCACGTCACACGACAAGCTGCAAGCTGTCCTGATGATGTCCGAGCCAACTAGATCCGATGAGATATCTTGATGAGAACATGCCAATCCAAAGTGTCTCTCCTTCTTTAGATCTCATGAGTTGATCTCATGAGTTGATGGATTTCGGGGGGGGCTTTAGGAGGACCTCCACCGACATCTCCGCACAGATTCTCCACGGCCATCGACATCGCCTTCAACCTCTCAGCGCGTCCGGGGGACCCACGCAATCGCTGGTGGATTGTGGGTTTGGTGCCCATCTTCGGTGTGGAAGAGGCGCCCAGGCTCCAAGCTGGGCCTGTGGGACTTACTGATGGCTCCAAGAGTTGTAGGCCGGTGTTGATGAATTGTTCATCATTGATGGATTGTTCCCGAAGACTTGCCCATGTCTAAGAATTGGCACCATGAACTACTGGTATATATATAATATATATATATATAAACATTGTCTTATGGAGGGAGGCGCTAAAATTATCTAAATTAGTATGAAATAAGGGCCTTGTTTAAGAGCTCCAGGCACAGAGATAACCGTGCACATGCCATGTGTGCATGGGTATGGACATGATACTATCCAATTTGGCTTCCATAAAGGTTGCCATTCACACGACATTTTAAGGGACACGGAGTTCGACCATTGCAAAGAGGCAAAAGGAGCTGCCTGAGTGGTTAGTGGTTGAAGTTTGAGCTGCTGTCGGTGTTCAGACGAGCCTACCGTGAACGTGAGACAGCTTTTTGAGTGTTCTCAATTGGCTTCGGTCTCAGCAAGTCCGTTTGCGATGTGAAAAAATCGCGACGTTCGAGGCCTTTGCACTCACTCATCTCAAACTCCCAGCCACTGGCGTCTCGAAGCACCTGTACAACATGTCCAAGTTGTGCGAGATGCCTGGGACCTCAGGCACCCAGAGAGGCTTCACGAATCCATCCCCAAAAATCATGACCATCGCGAAGTGGCCGCATGTTCCTAAGACATATTTGTTCATATTTTTTCATGACACATGTAGTTGTTTTTCTTTCCCTCCGATCCAATGAAAGGGACAACACCATTTTAAAGTTAACTTGTAGAGCCAGCAGTGTATCCAGCGTATCCTGCTGCTGCATCGACGCCTGAACGCCTTACGCCTCGATCCGCTGGATCCGTTTGAGGTGTTGGAGCAAAGGCGGCGAGGAGGGCCAGCAGTGCAAAGATGTGTATTTGAGCGCTGTGATGTGCCTTAGCAGCAGGACCAAGCCAGCATGTGTATGAAGATGTATGTTCAGAACAGAATGAAGCATCGAGTCGTGAGATCTACAGATTAAAAGCCATGTAAAGCCCATCATTGTTTCTAGATCCAACTCCTTCGGCAGAGTCCCGGTTCACGCGTTAAGCAGCATGTAAGAAAAGAACTGAGGCTCATCGGCCTCATCACAGGCGGGGAATTTGCTTTGGGTTTTGACATGTACTGGTAGTTTCCCATGGTACCTCAGAATAAAGCTGTCAGTGGCGTGGCAGGTCGCAACCAATCACACCATAGTTCTGTGGCAGGTCTCTCCTTGCATGCCAGTTGGATCAAAGTCATCGACTCCAATGGCATTCCACCTTAGAAATCCGACACAATGATCATGACATATGCAGACTCTTGAGTAAGACCATTGACGGGAATAATGTAGACTCTTGATTAAGAAGTGTTAAGAACCTATATTCCATTTGAATTGGAACACCTCTTCATATGGGGAGGGCTTATGATATGTACCTCAAGAGTCAGGTCGGAGGTTGAAAGACATTTCCTGGTATGTTTTGATGCCTTGGTCAGGTGCGGTGTTGGGCGAACGCTTGGCAGCTACCTTTGGTTTGGAGGTCAGATGGTGCTTTCTGCCGGTCTCACCCTTGGTGATGCTGGCAATTTGGGTCCATGAGCCTTGGAATGCCTTGGCATGGGTAATAGCACGTCGAACCTTTGAAGCTTGGTGGTAGCTCTTTTTACGGCTGGCCTGCTTTGCCGCCTCTCACGGTGTGAGGAGTGCCTCCACTGGAAGACCTGTGAAGACCCAGTTAACATGGAGCCAATGGACAGTGAGGCAGATGATGATGCAGATTCCTCCTGACTCACTACGACCGCGTCCCCTTCGCTGGTGGCCAGTGCCTCTGACCAGACGTTGCCGTGCGCAGCTACAGTGGACCTCCAACTACAGCGTCCGTTGGGCACCACCGTCCGTTGCGGCCACCAATGGGTGCTCCGGAGCGCACCGACGTTCGGCACCCGTCGGCAGCGGTCGGCGAGAAATCCCTCAAAGCTTGCCAGGTCGGAGGCAAAACGTTGAGAAACGTGGCAAACGGCAGGTGCGTGGATCGACGTCGTACCTCGTGTGGAAGGTCAGATGAGCCGTCGGAGCCAGCGGATCTCAGCGTTGTGGGCTGAAGAAAAGGGCCGAAAAAGGGAGCCAGTTGCACACTGAGGTCGCGTCTTGGGCATGTTCCACGGTATCACGGAACATGCCGGAACATGTATGCAACGAGCGGTAATGTGGGGGTTGTTGTGCTATTGTTCGGATGATTGTTGGATACTGTTGGGGCCTTGGGTTTGGATATCTGTGTTGCTTTCCAGACGAATCGTGTGCAGAAGTTTCCAGGTTTGATGGTTCAGACCAGGAACTCACGCGCTTTCAGTGGCCAATTCCGATGTTCCAACCTTCCTATTCGACCTTGACAGCCTTTGGAACTCTGCAGCGTTCTGATCAACCCACATTACCACGGTCAAGTGTGGTTATCTGAGGTGAGGGGAACAGGCCAGGGGGGGTGCACAAAGGCTGAGGTAGAAGATTCTTTGAGTCTGTCTCATTTCGCATGTGACAGCCTTGCTCAGAGCATAAAGAAGGAGATGGACAGAAGCAGTACACCGAGTTTGCTCTGAAGAAATCGAAAACCCATCCACCTGCAGAAAGCCACCGACCAAAATGGGTGTTCTCCCGTGTTTATCCTTGAAATGAACTGTCTCTTTGAGATCTGAGGATCCACCAGACCCAGCAGGTGAAGACACATCAGACCCATCAGGAAAGAATCGACTCATGAATTTCCGGGCATTTTCTTTGCATCGCAAGCCGGGAATTCATTGCCATCGCAGAGTTCCACGATGGTGCGCAGATCCCGGAACTTGTTCCCGGCCTTGTTGGCTGCAGGCCCTGGCGAGTTTTCACTGGTGTTATCTCGGGTCTCACCTGAAAGAGAGCCTATGGGGCAGCTCTTGGGAACATAGAAAGAATCCTTTCCAAACTAGTTACTGTAGTTGACGTGGCCACTGGCCAATTCTTGAGTTGGGTGATCCAGTGGCCTCGTGCAATTGAAGACTGGGAGGCCTCCTGCCTTTGACCTTCGTCGGCTGGTCCTCGTCCTCACGTGCGAGTCAAGTTCCTGTGGTGGTGCGACACGTGGACGGTGCACTGGTGGATGCCACGGAGGAGTCCGAGGAAGAGGTGCCCGGTCAAAAGTCGAGCGAGTGAGTAACACGAAAGACCCGGTCAAAAGTCGAGCGAGTGAGTAACACGAAAGACATTGGAGTCCGATGGAGACATGATGAAACCTTATTTTTAAACCTCTGGAAGCCTCTCACATGACACATCGCTCCTTTACGTTTGCGACCCCGGTGGGGGTGACCTCACCTATCCTACTGCATCGGGAAAAGCAATGAAAAGTTCGGCAGACCATGGAGCATGAGAAATCAACATGTATGCTTTATGCAGTTTCAGTCCATGGACCAGAATGGAGCGCCTTGCTAGCAACGCTTTTTTGTTTGAGATGTGCAGATGTGTCGATTTGTAGATCGCCAGGTGCAGGTTTGGAAGGATGCCTACCAACTGGAACTAGCTCCTTGTCTCAAGCATTGCGCCTTGTGCGCAAAATGGGCATTTGAGGTTCTGGTGTGATCCTACCTTTTTTTCCCGGGGCCATTGCTTACAGCCCAGCATAGCAGCACAGAGCGGCACAACAAATGACCGGAAGTGACCCTGGCCTCATTGAACAGACGGTTTTATCCTGTTTTACTAGGTTCCTCACGCATGCCTTGCGCAATGAGGAGCGCGCTGATTTGCTGGATGAACAGCTCAAAGCGGGTCTGGACAGGCTTGGCGTCCAGCTGGCGTAGCTACATGGCGACAGTGGCCAACGCGTGAGAATTTGGGTTGCCAGTGGGGTGCCGAAGCCTTTTTGGACTCAGATCGGCCCATGAGATGAATCAGCATTCAAAGCAAAAGAGCAAACATATCCGGCACCATCTTTTTGAGCTCCAAAATGAAGGGGGAGAGACATATCCGAAGCCGTGAAACCCTGGCACGTGTCTATATAACATAGAGACATAATTATGTAATATATATATATATATGTGTGTGTCAACAACCTCAAGTGTAGGACAGCAGCAGTCTAGCCCTTCAACTGGCCGGTGGCACATTGAAGCCGTTCACTAGCTCATTCTGCACTCCACGGCTTTGAGACAACATAAGTTAACAGACAAGAACACCTACTATAGGCGGTGAACGGTGACTGAACTGCCAATGTCGAGCCCGCGCACAGCCGCCAAATCGGATGAAGACGATGGGAGCGGTGTGTGTCGACGCTTTCCACTGATGTGGGACATCAAACTGAAGGGAACAACTGAAACATGTACTGTATTAGGAAGATGCTGCACAGAGGGGGAGAGAGAGAGAGAGAGGGAGAGAGAGAGAGAGAGGTGTGCGTGGAACTTCAACAGCATTGTTGAACTCGCAGACTGCAGGCTGAAATGGCTTGCATCACGAGTGCCTTCCGACATGCTGTATAGCAATCATCAATGGCTAATGTCAGTTTGGAGCACGCTGTATGGATGCTCAAGAGGTCACGCTGTTCCACCCACAGCACCCGTTCCAACCATTGAGATGTGTCCGAAAGGTATTTGGTAGTTTGCTTGTTGTTGTGTTTCTTCTTGTTTTTGCCCTGAGGATCCATGTTCTGTCCAAAGAGGTATCCTGACTCCGTCGCACCAGCTACTTGGCTGTCGGACTGACTCAAAGGCGACCGAATTGACGATGATTGGAGGGCCACATGCCCTCCATGACCTGGGCAGCTTTTGACATGATTTTTACTTTGTTTTTGCTTGCCCACCGGTACGGTCTTATGTGAGTTATGCATTTGTGTGATTCGCATGCTGTTTCACGCGCGCCCAGACGTAAGGAGTACCGATGGTTTCAGACCTGGGACACAATCCAGCAAATGACGAAACTGGTGAATCACCACTTTGGTGAGTTGGCCTGGTCTCTTGGCGAGCGCGAGTGGAGCGGAAAGAAGAGTTGTTTGGGCCAATCATCAGGGTCGGAGAATCATTTGTTGGTGCACCGATGCGACATCCTGAGATGGCTATACCATGCTATACCGAGTTGTTTGGACCAATCGTCCTCAGTGAAGGCATTCCTTGCCATCAGATGTCATCCAGGTTAGCAGTCAGTCCGTTGGCATCTTCGACCTTGGGGCAAGTCCGTTGGTGGTGTCATTGTTGTGTTTTTGTTTCTCTAGCTGGCAAGCCCCTTTGGATCCTTCAGCACTAGCAGAAGTTCCATCTCTCCTAAAGCAAGCAGTATTATATAAACTCCCTCAACATCCCTCAACCGCATTTCTTTGTCATGACTATCATGTCCATGTCCATTAGCTTCATATAGCTTCCTTTCAGCTCCCTTCGACCCGCACCCCGCGCCGCTCCGCTTCAGGTTCGCCTTTCACGGCGTCGGGGATCCCCATGCGTCGGTCTCCCGCGCGGTCTTGTTCACGTTGAGTCGCCAGCTCTTCGGGCACAAGGCGAGACAAGACGGCAGGCTCTTCGGGGACAAGACGGTGAGACCAAGAATACGGGAGCAACTGCAAGCAACTGTGAGCATTCACCAGCTACAAAAAGCTACTGAAATCTAGAAAGAACATGAAAAAAGCACACCTAACACATATATAGTTACATGGCTGTCGGAAAGTGTTTTTGGGTTGCGGTTCCTAATAGCTTCTTGGTACCAATAGCTACTTGTTACTACTAGTAAGGCACTTGTTACTAGAAGCGATGCACTTGTTCCTGGTAGCTTCTTGTTCCTAAAGATTGCAAAATGCGTTGCATGGTTTGCCAGGTGTCAGTTTTGGGCACCACGCCCACAGCTGGTCTATGGTTTGCCGAGCCCTGGCTTAGTGGGCATATCAGTAGGATTATGGTTGTATGAGGCGGCACCTGCGTGAATGCTATAGGTATACATCCAGCAGCCTTTTTTAAAGCAAGGACCAGATACACAAATCATTCAGGAGGTCGGCTGCCGAAATCGAAGCCCATGGTGGCAAGCCTGGTGGACTTTCTCAGCACTCAAACTGCAGTTATGTTTGAGCTAGTATATAATTCCAACTGTTTGTGTATGTTTGTCTCCTTAGTGTGTTTGAATCTTGGAACATCTCAAGCCAACATGGACACTGTCGATTGATCCGATTTGATTCGTGTTTTCGCCCACACCCAGGCCTACGTGAAGACCTTCCGGACTTTGGGCGGGACGCTGGAAGCCTTGGCCACCATGACCGAGATCTTCGCTTTTCAGGCTTTTGTCATTAGATTTCATTTTGGAATCGCACAGAGATGAGTATGATGAGTGCGTCCCCATGTGCTGTCAGATCAACAGCATTTTGCTTCTTTGGGCAGCAGGGATGTTAGGACCGGCCTGGGGTGACGCCCGGGCGTCCCGTTCGGGCAGTTGTGGTGCTGCTAGCTCCTGGCGTGACAGGAATCCACAGGTATCCAGAAGTTCCAGGAATCCAGCCTGGTCAATCAATCAGATCCTTGTAGAACTGTTTCCTCACATTACCGAGGCACTCCATGGGACTGCCATAGTGACTGCCATATATGCCGCCCCATTGACCCCCCAAACCACCCCAATGTAAGCATATGGCCTACATGGTGTTTGGGTAATGTATTATGTATGATATAAACATGTCGTTTTGCCGTTGTTGCGCCCCCTGACGAGGAGCCATGGCTGAAGCAATGAACAGCGCGACACGCTCCTGCATTCTGCAGCATTTTTCGAAGGTGGCCCTCCCGGAAAGGTTTCGTCATTGACCGCTCCTGAAACAATAATGATTTCGAGCAAATTTTGGGGCCCTTTGTGCATTTGTGGATATTTGAGGGTTGCGCATGGGAAGATTAAATCGTGGTGTGGAACAAGAGTTGTCAGGAGTCCACAATCCACCTAACTAGTTTGGATGTGAAGGCGGAATTTCCAGAAAGAAACCTTCATGAAGTTACTTAACGCAAGTCAAGCTAAGTCAGTTGAGGTTACATGGCACCACTTAGTCAACATGAATATGTTCAGAACGCGGTCAGCATCGATGATGCCCATGGGCCAGGAGAAGAATAATCACGACGTCACCTTGAAGGACTCCCGTTTAACTAGCTGTAAACGTCCTTGCGAGCAGATGGCTACAGCAGGTGCTTCGGCAGGTGCTATGCGTGAAGCTGCTCGCTTTAAGACAACAGTATGAACTCGAGTCATCACTAAGGCAACACAGATTTAACAGGATTTAACATATTGTTGTGCACGCTTTCGTCTTCGCCACCACTTCCACTGGAAGACAGGAGAACAATCAGGACAACGCAGGGAGTACCATTGGTGTCTTGGGAGGCGGGGAACAAGTTGCGAAGGGTTTATAAGGGTTTGTGACATGCAGAAACAAGACACCACGTGACGTGTTCGATTATGCCTTAAGCTTTGGTCAGATGTATTGTGAAGCATAGGTAAAATGTAGGTCTCCGAGGCCTGTAGCCAGAATTGGGAGTCTTATTTTACTGGGTTTGGAGGGCTTCACAAGTTGTGGGCGCTGATGGGTGTACTTCCAACTTGGGGAGAGCACCGTTCGGAGAAGACAAGTAATAATAAGGCCTAATGATATCAGTTTGTCGTAGCTTTCTCGTTTTAGAACTAAGTCGTTCACTAGTCTTTTCTGCCTTCGCATCTGCCAGATACTTACCAGTGGAATGCCAGTTGCTTGCTCGCGTCTCGCCTACTCGTCGCTATGCCGTCTACGCCACCACGTCCTTCACAGGTTTGATTGTGGTCGCGTCCATCAACCGAGCTGGTGGGTTCAATGATCAAACCCTCACAGGGTGTTGCATCGTTTGCTTCTGCCTGCAGCTCGGACATGGGCGATTTGCATCGCAGTGGGAAAGGTTTAGGGTTTAGATGGGTTTAGGTCACTTGAGGAGACGGGTGAATTGGACAGGCAAGGAATAGGTGAGATTTGTCGGTTCATGTCAGTGACTTGAATCAACCTGGTTGAGTTCTCTTCCATGTATGTGTTTTCGTGTTTGTTTCTTTAAATCTCCAACTGTTCCCGCACTGATCCATGTCAAAGGGCTGAGCCACGAGGTGTATGGTCCATGTGTGGACAAACCTCGCGTCCTCTTTGGTGCTGAAGATCCCACCGGGAACCTTCTTCTTGAGACACTGCAAGACGAGGACGCCTCCGCTCGGCTTCGCGCGTTGTTGGCAGCGGTCCCCCGTTCTCCCAAACGGGCCGAAGTCGGAGCGAATTGCCATGTTGCAGCAGCTGGCTGCAGGGTCCCTTCGCATGCACACCTGGGGCCAAAATGGTAGGCCCTGGTCGGCCTTGTATATGAGTGAGAGCAACTTCCGTGCTGAAGGCGTGTCGATCTGACTGTTGCGTTGAAATATGTTGAAACTCAGGATCGTTCACGAGCAAGATGGACTTTGAACATCTTTGAAGCTTGAATTATTGCGCTGTGACTTTTTGTGACGGCTATGGAGGACTTGATTCCCACAAACTGGAATGGAACATGTCTGAAAGTGTATACAAGTATATTACATGTCTATACTTTCACACTGTCTCAACATGCATCAACCACTCCGATGCAGGTAGACATGCCATATAGATCCATACATGTTGCTTCCCCGAACAGTTTTGCCACAGTCCCTGGCTGAGCCCCTGAACCTTGTGTCGGGGTGTTGTCCTTTTCTTGTCGTCCAGTTGCCCTGCTGTTGTCAACCTTCGGTCCTTGAGGCCGCGGTGGCGAACCCTGTACCAACCTAATAGCAATGGCCTCCAACCTACCTCCTGCTGTTTTCCGGCCGCGCGCGCGAAGTCCTCGACTCTTGCACGTTCGTTTGGGTGAGCCGCTCGATGCTGCTCGCCATCGCTGGCGAAGTCCTCCATTTGGGACGATGGACGGCAGGGAGGTGGCAGCCTGGAGCGGAACGCCTGACCTCAGGAGCTGACGAGACTGCAAACCTTGGACGTCCGAAGGCCCGGGTTCAGAAACGCGGGCGCCAGCACCTCCCAGTCGTGCTGGAGTGACGGTGCTGTTGTTCGGCGGACATGGCCGATGTGGACACCCTCTGGGGCAAGGCCAAAGAGGCAAAGATGGGGAGCGCCTTCAGTCCCCTTTGACGTGGGCCCTAAGTGAGTCCGACCAGCCCTGCTGCGCAGTACGTGAGCCCTAAGCCCAGCTGCTAGCTCATAATGAGCTCTGGAAAGACACTGAAGGAACATGAGACTTGAACGTCCAATGTGCTTCTCAGAGTATTTTGAGAGCGGAGTGGGCAAGTTTCGGTTCCATGTTGCCACCCTCACCGAACAGAATCGCTCGCAGCTGAGTGCCGCACAGTCTCGGTGGCCAGCTGGTCCGAGAAGCGATGCTGGTCCGACGCGCTGCTGGTATATATACCACATATTACCATCATTCGATTTAATTTTGCGATGTACATGAGCAAACGTGCAGGCTTGGATTTGTTGAGTTCGATCAAACAGGTTGGGGTTGGATGAGTTCTTCAGTGTCACTGAGGAAGCTTGGTGTTCGTGTCGCTGGCGATGAAACGGGCCGACTCCCCTTGTTCCTTCAACGTACTCGTACGAGAACGAATGGTACCTTCGTCGTCTCGCCTCGCCTCCATTCAGCGGGCACCGCCCGGTGCTGCGATGACTCTCCAGACCGCCTGGGACACCCACCGATGAAACAAGTTGGGCCCTGCACACCTGCAGCCGCCTGTCCACAGAGTGACTCATGTTGGATCCGTGCGACCGGCGCGTTGTTCGATGCGTCAGGAGGTATGTGATTGTGACCTCGGGCAACTCCTTGGCAGCTGCAGCTGACACTCTGGCGGATGAGAGGGTGGAGATCTTCAAGCTCCCTTCCGATCAGAAGCTGGTCGGGTGACAGGTGAAGACCACGGAATTCATTGGTCATAGACATACTCCATGCCAATTAACATGGAACCCCAAACCACTGAGTTGTAGAGGAAAACATGTTTTTCCATCGGTCCATTTTCAGGTTCCATGTTAGTTTGCGGGGGGTAGAGCTTCGATGTGCAGGATGTTCGAAAGAACTCCCCTCACATGCAGCATGGAAGAGGGGGACTGGCATGCAGCATGCCCCAATTGTTGCATGCGACGTACATGACTTGTGTATTTGCTGAACATAATTTCTAGATTCTACACAACCCAAACATGCTCCGACAAAGCGCGTCCTGAGGATTTTTGGCAAAGCATTGATGAGTACCAATGAAGTTTGGTTCGATCAGGCCGCAGCTGCGCAGGAGGTTTTTTTCCTTTGTCCCACGTCGGCCCGGAAGGTCCAGCAAATCTTGTAAAAAGCCAGATCTATATAATTGACAATCATTGGTGACGGGGATCAACCCTGCGAAACATCAGTGTGGGACCTCCATACCGCTACACCCTGGAAGATGAACATGGAACCTGAAAACCGATGGGTTGTAAATTGCTTGTATTCGGAAATTCCGTCTTCCAAAGGGCCATTTCCAGGTTTCATTTGGGTCTCGGGGTTCCGGGTGTAGCTCAATGCGGTTTGCCACCAGGATGGACAAGCGGCAGCTGACCCCTGTGCCGCCCAGCTGGACGAAGATGGGCAAAGCATCGTCCTTCGTGGGGCCGAAAGCTCAGCGACGGCAAACGCCAGTGGCGAGTACGCTTCAAACAAGAACAATGGGATGAACTTGAAGATGTTCATGAAAATGAATGGCATACCCTGATTTCATAGGTCCTTTTGATTGATACACATCATATATATGTAGACGAATCAGGGTATACTGTCCCATCGGAATTGTTTTTGACATGTTATCGTAGGTGGCCCTCAGCTTGGGCGGGGTTGGAGTTGTTCCATCCATCGGTGGCAGAGACAACGAGGACGTTTGGTGGGTGACCCAGGAGAAGTATCAGCTGGAGGCCTGCACGTCGCTACGCAGCTCTAAATCTGCCTCGACCCTTTTCTTCCCACCAGGCACCCGGCCAAGGGCGGGAGGGCATCAGAACGAGGAGTCCGGAGGTTGCAAAGCATGGAACCTTTGATATGCCCTTGATTGTTCCTTGATTCTCACCAATCCATCTTTTTGCCAGTCTACTGAGTATGACTTAAACAGATTTGCAGCCTGGCACATGGCTAGTACGTGAAAGTTCAAGCTTTCGAAGCGGTAGTTTCCCGGGGAAGTTTGAAGTAACTGATTTGATTGTACATACTGAAGCTACAACGCTGGAAGTGTTCTCGGCAGTGCTCTATTGCCAACACGGTGGAGTGCATGAGATGAATGCATCAGACAGGTTGTGCCAATAGTCTTGCAGTAGTCCTTTTGTGAGAGGCACGCATGTGTATATATTTACAATTGCAAAGGTACATGCAACGAATACAATGGAGGGCTTGGGCTTACAATTAGACATAAATTCCGCTGAGGTGTTTGAGCAGCCTGGAAGAACCAATTGTTCTTTCCAGCTGTGTGATGTTCATCCTTGAAGTCAAAGTGTGGGAAAGAAACACAGCGAAGAAATGCAGAAACTTTGTCTTCCAGTCAGGCATGTTCAATAAAGGCAGTCTAAGGACCCTTGAGTTTCTGGGAAGGTTAGTTTTTTTGACTTTGGAACTGTGTTCTCCTTGATTTCTCTGGTGTTTTTCTCTTGATTCACCTTTGCCCAAGGCTGGCCGGTCACCATGCCCAAGGGCTTTGACGCCTTTGCTGCTTATGACCTCATTGGGGGCATCACTTCGACGCCCAGGAGCGACGTCTTGGGGTGGGTGGCGGGGCCCATGGGAAGCGCGAGAACGTCCGAAACGCCAAAAAGGGTATCAAAAAGGTATCAATGAATTTGTTGTTTTGGTGTATCAATCTCCAGCTCAAGTTTCAATATGAAAAGTTTGATCCAGTTTTTAAGAGGTCGATTTGTTTGTAAAACATCATCCAATCGTTGAAACCAAGTATTTTTTTTAAATCTTCGATCCTCTTGGGACGCGTTGAGCCCACAACCAGCCGGACCAGTGTCCGGACCTTGGGTGATCAAGCAGACAGCCCAAGCTGTCTGCCTGCGGGCTGTGTCGTATGCAGTATGCCAGTATGCATTCTTGATCCGGGATGAGAATGATTATTGATATTATGTGATATTTATAGATGATAGATGTCTAAATTCATGGACGGATTTGTGTGAAAACACATGTGCAATGGGCAGGTTGCTTTTCCGTTTTGGGGTTGCATGGTTCCACCAGTTTGGCAGAACGACCTTCAAAGTAAGTCTTGATAGGTCGGAGAGGGAACTTGGAGTGTCTACCAAGACACCGCTTTGATCCCAGATTGCATCTAGATCCGATGAAGAAGCTATTAGGAACAAGTGCATCGCTACTAGTAACAAGTGCCTTACTAGTAGTAGCAAGAAGCTATTAGAAACAAGAAGCTATTAGGAACTTGTAATTGACCGGCGCCCGTGGGAAGTCACATGAGCTGATACAGGGCAGGATAGATGGGCGCAACCCATAAGTCATCCTCCAATGCAAAGATAAGTGGCCTCTCGCCATCCCACGGGGTGGGTGTCAGGAAGCTTTTGCATGTTTTCATTTACTGGAAGCAGCTTGGCTGTGCTCAAGGCAGCAGCTGTAGATGGAAGAAGAAGTCACCAGAACTGCAGAAGAGGACACAAAAAAACAGTCACCAGTTCATGGAATTTGGGGCACAACAGAGTATGATGGTACAGCATCCAAGATGTACAAGGAGCCAGATGCATGACACAAGGAGAGGACTATGTACAGCATCCAACATCGCTGTCCGACTGGACAAGTCGGACCAAGGAGAGGGCTGGGAGGCGCACGTGCCTAGATTTGTGTGTTTAAAGCCCGCTCCCCCTCCTGCCTACTTAATTAAGGGAGAGGTAGCTAGTACCAGTGCTAGTACCTTACTTCAGCTACTCGTATGGACGCAGGATAGCTCACGCACTATTCATTTGGTTCCTATTTTTTGTTTGGGGAACTTAGTTGATACCCCCATATAGCCTTGCCCAGATCTCTTTTTCCCGACTCTTCTCGTGACAAACAGCGAAGAGCTGGGCAACAGCCCAGGTATGTAGCTGGTGTAGGCGATGCTTCCAAGGGTCCAGCCACTTGGGCAACAAGCTGCGCGCTGAACATTGCCAGTCGAGGTATCTTCAGGTAGTTCATTCATGCAGATGACACTCACATAGACAGAAGATGTGATGTTAATTTCATTGACACGTTTTTGGCACTTGCAGAAGCCTTCCGATTCAGTCGAGGAAATCGTGTTGGGAATTGGGATTGGTCGTGTGTTGTCCATCACTTATTTGATCTTATTTGTACTTTATTGGTGCATAGTGGAGTGCAGGATGTTCAATACGATCTTGGGAACCTACACTCCTTGCCACTTAATAATGCATTCCATTGTGGTTGTTTCTCATCCTGGACCCATCCATGTAACTTGCCAATGTCCCATGGACAAGGTATGCATATCGTTTTTGCTAGGTTTTGTATTTTTGTGCTTCTCAGTGGAGTTCAATCCTAATCCTTAGCCTTAGCCATACTGCAAGAGTGTAGTTCTTGCAATCCAAAAATCAGCTTTGAGTAATTGATAAGGATCCTTTTCTCCAGCTTCGTGTCCAATGCCCTAGTCGATACTTCCAAGCTCCAAAATTCAAACATGTGCAAAGCTGAGTGCTTCACCATTTGGGCAACTGAGGCCTACGCCTGCTTGCTGGGGCTGTTTGGAACCAGCATTGGTTTGGTCTCTGGCCTCATTAGCCGCTTGAAAGCACCGATCCTTCAGATCCGCTCAGATCCGTTGAAACCGTAGACCCGGCTGTCAAGACAATCGCGTGAAAAAGAAAACGACCATAGAGGGAGGCTATAATTGGGGTCTGTCCGTTCTTACCTCGTCAGTAAACAATTAATACTATTTCGGGACAAGGCCTTTACTAACCATCTGTGAAGATCATAGCTAGGTACAGATAGGTAGCTTGACATGATTTGTCTTTTGCATGTATCCGCACCGCAGCTTGTCACAAGCGATTTGCTTCGGAAACACCGCGTGTTTTCTTTGCGCTTTTGCCCCGCGTTTCGTTCTACCTTACGCTACCCTGTGCACTCCGCATTGGTAGCGGAGCTCCTGATCTTCGATCGGGGGCTGATGGCCGAGCATGCAGGCTCGGGGGCGGCAGCCCATGAGTGGGAGGACGCTTCTTCCCAGACCCAGGCTGCGCCTGGAGAGGGGTCGCCCGCGGCAACCCCCAGGAGGATGTCTGCGGCATCCGATGGTGCAGTTCAAGGAACGCCACAAGGCACACCTGGATCAGCACAGTCAGCTCCGGCGGCGCCCGCAAGACGCATGGGTGGCAAAGGTAAGGGTTGGACACCTTCGATGCCACCTCCGCAGATGCCTGTTCCTCCAGCGTACACCCAACCGTACCCGGCCATGTCACAGCTGCGATGGGAACAGGACGTCTATGGGCATTGGTGGTACAGCGATGGACAACATTGGTGGTATGGCCATGGATGTTCACATCGCTTCACCGCACCACCAGCTGGAACCATCCCCACGGCAACATCGAGCATTGGTGCTTCTTGGCAGTTCCTCAACCCTGAGACAGTGAGGCATCCCTCCGGGTCGAAGCCATCACGGGAACCAGCACATCCCAAGAAGCCGTCCAAGCCGGAGTCGCAGAAGAAGTCTCCGAATAAGAAGAAGCCTCCGGCAAAGGAGAAGAAGAAAGCACCTCCTCCTCCACCAGAGGAAGATGAAGATGATGATGACGACGATGATGGTAGTGAAGGTGGAAGCAGTTCATCCTATGAGGAAGTGGAGTTTGAGGAGAGTGAGGAAGAGGATGGGGAGTTCACAGATGATCCAAGTGTGGCTGCGACCCCAAGAGGAACTCCAAGAGCTGCACAGACGCCGAAGGCCGCTGCCAAGGCGAAGCAAGCAGCAAAACCTGCTGCAAAGCCAAGACCGGCAGCGCCGGCGAAAGCAAAAGCTGGGAAGGCTCGCCCAGCAGCTCCTCCGAAGGATCCACAGCCGCCAAAAGCCTTTCACCGAGCGGCCAAGGTGGTAAAGAAGAAGCCCAAGGCCGAGACGGACCCGGACCCACCTTCTGCACCTCCTTCAGGTCCCCCATCCGGTGGAGGCTCGGCAGCGCCGTCGGATATCAGTACTGTGCGTACTGAATCCATCAAGGAACTGCTGAAGGGCAGGCCAGGCAGTTCAGGTGAGCGCAACCGCACCAACCTTGGGCAGGTCAAGCTCGAGGTCTTCAAGGGCGACAGGGCCCATTACCGGAACTGGATCAAGACGATTCAGGCACAACGGCAGCTATACCAACTGCAGGATGAAGAACTGGCCGTCCTGATGTTCCTCAGCTGCGAGGGCGAAGCTCGTGAAGTACTGAATCAACTTGAGATTGAAGACATGAGGTCAGCAGGAGGCCTCAATCGAGTACTTCGCCTTCTCGAGGACGCCTATGGTGCAAAGGCTGATGAACGCTTCGAAGAGAAGCAATCAGAGTTCATGTCATACAGGCGCCTCCCAGGCCAGAGTGTGGCGGCCTATCTGGCCACTTTGAAGAGGTTGAGAACAGAATACCTCAAAGAAGACCCTGGCTCAGTGATCTCAGACAGGGCGTTCGCCCAGAGAATGCTGTCTCGAGCCGCGCTCACTCGCAGAGAACGATATGATGTGTTCTTTGCGGCCGGAGGTGCATACAAGTCTGCTGACATTGAACGGGTGCTTCGCTTCAGGTGCAGTCAACTTCACTTGGATGAGCGCAAGCCCACAGCTCATCGAGAAGACCGCACAGCGCCAATCCGCAGGCCGCCGCCTCGGAAGGCGTTCAAGCGAACAGACCGCAGGGGTCCTTACAAGCCGACCCGCCATACACACTGGGCGGATGCAGAGGACGACTGGGAATACGATGATGAGGAGGACTCCTTCGGAGACCCAGACAATGAGGATCTGGAGCATGAAGCCCTCATGGCAGAAGAAGACATGCCGGAAGAAGAGGCATATGAAGATGATGAGGGCTACTACGATGATGATGACGAGGACCTGGACACGGTGGATCGAGGTGCCCTCCAAGAAGCTTTCTCCGCCGGCTGGTCAGCCAAGTCCAAGGGAAGAAGAACTCCACCTGTGCCAGCTGTGGCCAACGAGGCCATTGGAAGGGCGATGAGGTATGCCCAAATGTCCGCTCAGGTAAAGATGCAGTTCACCAGAAGCGGGACAATGAGGCCCATTTCAATACGGGCACTCACAAGGGGCAGCGCCATCCCTCAGCAGGACCCGCCAGGCCAGTGAAGTCTGAACCACCGCCTGAGCGTGAGCCACTTCGCAGGAGGCCGCAGCCCCTGCCAGACCGGCGGCGACCGGCAGAGCCATCGTACCCACCTCCGGAAAGGGAGCGAACGGGTACCAAGCACCGCAGCGACAGGGGTTACTATGATGACTATATGATGATGAGGTGCCGAAGATCCCTGAGCCGGGTACAAAAGGCCTGTCAGCCAAGATCAAAGCTCGACGACCAGGCAAAGAAGAGTATCTAGTCTTTGATAGCATCCAAGATGCCATTGACAGCACAAGAACGTCACCGCCTCCATCTCCGTTGATGAAGCCCCGTCCTGCTAAGCAGATCTGGCCCAAGCCACGAAAGGCCAAACCTCAGCCCGCGGCAGAGGAACAGACCAGACCTCCGCCAGCGGCAGAGAGACAGGCAGTAGAACCGGCACCGTGCACTGCCAATCCGAGACCCAGAGAAGTCTCGAGAGAGGCGACGGCGTCGTCGCTCTGAAGGCGAGCCAGGTGAGGCACGCCCTGAAGGTGAGCACTGGCGGCGCCGGAGGAAGAGCAAGCCTGCAATGGCTGAGCCGGTCGATGTGACGAGACCAGCGCCACCAGAGGCTCCAGCTCCCTCAGAAGAAGCTTCCAATGCCACCGAAGCAACAAGGGAAGCAACAGCAGATGCAACAACCGCAACTGCTGAAGCGGAGGCTCCCGCACCTGCAGAAGGCACCAGTGCAAGGCAGGTCAATTGGACCATGATGCATGGATGGGAGCGAATCCGACGGTACCAGTCCGATGATGAGGAGGTGGATAGCAGCTCAAGTGCAGCCTCAGAAAGTGAAGAAGAGGATCTGGCCTACCACCTCAAGCTGTTTCGCTTCGCAAGCGTCCCAATCCAAGCAAGCAAAGGAGAAGATCAAAGTGAAGCTTCTCACGGTGTTGCGCTCTCTGCTGGAGGATGAGAAAGATGAAGAAACCATCCAGCGGCTCCGTAAGAAGGAGAAGCGCCTTGCAGAGCGTGCCACAGCCAGGGCTACCGTTGCAACATCGAGCACAGAGGCTCGTCCCAAGGCCAAGCCCAAGCACAAGAAGCCAGAACGCTTGGAGGAGGATGTTGGCTTGAGCACCGAGGACCTGGTGAAGCTGCTCCCCAAGATGTCCAAAGAGGAGAAGAAGATCCTCTATAAGCAGCTGAAAAAGGACCAGGAACGCGAGATCCTATGGCTACTCCACGCCTGATCGACGTGGCAAGGATCAGGTTCAAGAGCCGCCAGAGAAGCAGGAGAACCTGCCAACTCCAGTCAAGAAGAAGAGATTGGAGGAGTTCCGCAAGTCCTTCTACGAAGCTGCGCTCGACAAGCGAGGACGCTTGAAGCCATCAGAGGCTTCGGACATCCCAACGGCCGACCAGGAGGCTTGCCGCCACAAGTTCGATCGCCTGGTTTGGGGAGCAAATGCCCATGCACACTGGGCCACATGCAAGGACTGCAAGCTGCGCAAAGTCCTGTACTACAGCACAGTCCATGGTGCAATGGCAGCCACGGCCGCGCCGAGCTGCAAGGCGGCAGCCCCAACACAAGAGGAGTACCGAGAGGCCATGATGCAAATGAACATGCCTCCAGGTCACGTGCAATCCTCGATACAGGTTGCCGAACAGCAGCGGCCGGCAAGCTTTGGCATGTTGATTTCCAGCGTGCATTGGAGCAGTGTGGTATGGAATACTTCATGGCGGACTATGACGAGGAGATCTTTCGCTTTGGAGCTGGTGACCCTGTCTTGTCAACCAAGGCGTACATCTACCCCGTCCAGATCTATGACCACAAGAGTTGGGTACGCATTGCCTTGGTTGAGAACACCAGCACGGACAGCAGGGTGTCAGAATGCCCTGGACTGGTGGATCCGGCAGAGCTGGCACGCTGGAAGGTACAGATCGACTTCGCTACTTCGGAGGTTGGCATTCATGGCACTTGGAGACCACCCGATTTTGGGTTTGCTCAATATGGGATCACACCCGAATCCCAAGCAGTGGCGCAGCAAGCCTTTGGAAGACCTCAGGCAGCGCCTGCTGAGCGATCCACACTCCTTCGCATTGGTTCAAGATGCCCTGGACAGCATCTCTGACTCTGGAAGTGAGGTGCCACAGGAGGTCCTAAAGGTCGCTGTACATGGACCTGAAACGCAGCAGCAGCAGCTGGCTATGTGGCAGGAGACGATGGAGGATGAAGCAATTGAGACATTGGATGCCATCAACGCCCCAAAGGTCTTCAAGCCACAACTGGATCCCATGAGCTCAGATGAGGGCTCCATCAGCGAGGGCGAGTCCGAGACCTCGCATGATCCAGACCAGCAGGAGGACTCCACGACCAGCAACGAGACCGAGGCTGAGGAGGAGTTCCATGAGATCCTGACATGAGCTGCGCCGGCGAAACAGAGATTTTGAGCAAAGGCCAGCGCCGCAGGGTCCTGGCTGCT